TGCAAGTTAAATGTATGTTTTATTCATAGCTAAACACATATCCTCAATAACATACTGAGATACTATCATTCTCGTTCTTCTATATACAACTTCCACATCAATTTAGGCCGACTTAAAATTAATAAGTTTATTTCAATAAAGTTTATAAAATTTGTAGGTTTAATTGTAATTTAGGTCATTTTAAAAACTAATTTATGAATTTTGGTTCTCTTATTTCTAAATCCTCGATTTCAATCCTTCTACTTTTTTAATTTTTGAAATTCAACTCATCCTTGCGAAATATCTAATATGGCACAACTAAAACCTATGTGACCGGCTGTTTGACATCTACATTGCAACTGCACCAAATTAATTAAACTATTACTAAAATTTATATTTTAATATATTATAATTACAATTAAATATTTACTTAAACTCTTATTAAATGATTAAGTCGTTAATTTTTTTAATTCTCTCAATCAAATTTAGAAAAAAATACTTCAACTTGTTCAGTTTATTTCTTGTTCAACTTGTTTCGCTTCTCGATGCGAGTTTGACATATTATAGCTTATGTGAAGAGGAAAAGGGTCTAAAAATAAAGCAGTATCAGACATCAAGAAAATCTTTCAAAGTATGTATTTGAAATTGTTTGTGTTAGGTGAGAATATGGAAACAAAAAAATCTAGAAGATGAGATGTTGAATAGACCCAAAATCCCATTACACAATTTAAAAAAAAAACTTTTCAGGTTCCATAACACGAAATCAGAGATTTTTGAAAGCACGGAAGCAAAACACAAAAACGGGAGCTTGGAAGCATCTTAATGAATCAAGCTTCATGAAATTATACATAAAAGAACTATAGGATAAATCATTCCTAGAACAAGTCATTTATATGACATCCAAATCCGCTTGCAAATGAAGCAATTTAAAAACACATTACTTGGATGATCTTAACAATGCATAATTTATTTTATAATAATTTCTTTGAACTACCATGACTTAAGCTTATACATTAAATCATTATAAGTAAGGTCTAACCTATATGGTATATAATCTATGCAATTGTAAACATGCAGTAGCAAATATGAAATGAATGAATGTTTGTAAAGTAAAAAGGATAAAGAAAGAGAAAGATACACAGGGATATATAATGCTCCGGTATGCGTCCTCATTTTGTTTGCATGAACTATTTAATGGATGATGCCATCAGAACATAATCACGATCTTCCACTATGATGATAAAATGATTACAAGGAACTATCACACAATAATTTCTTCTGATGAAGCAGACACTAAACTGCTAACACAATACAAGATCCCACAAGATCTTGATCTAATAACCTCATTATCCATAATAACCTACTCCAAGTATTCGTAAATGAAAATCCACCTGATCTCACCGATTTCTTATCTAAGTGATTGCCATTAACTGAACGTATATTGCACAACTTCTAACTTTGTCTGCTAGCAATCTTTCTCCAACGCCATCAAAGAAGGACAACTTTCAATTCTGTCTTACGGACCATTGATACTTGATTATGCCAAAGTCTTCCTTTGAGTATAATAAAAACTCCCATCTTATTAGATAACTTCTTGATCCTAAACTACACTCAAGAAACAATACATGCACCCGTTACAAATAAAAAAACCAGTTACACACAAACACATCAGATACTCTAATGTACCACTAGTCTCCATTTCACTCAATATTTAGAGGAAAGTCCTTAAACAAGAAAAAATACTAAGGATGAAGATGGTGAACAATACCAGATAATCTCAACAACAGTTGACATTATAAGTGATTAGTCGAGTAATTCAGTTTTGATGAAAGATGAATACACACACACACACACACACACACACACGGTTCAAATAAGTTTATAGATAAATGGATCTTGGTTCTTGATAGTTATCAAAAGCTTAATCAAATCCTTAACAAGGTTTGAATAACTCATTCTGAAAATCACAAAAAACAACAACTCAATTGCACATGTTGTAAATGTACCTTAAAAACTTCGTTTATGAAGAGAAAGAAAATATATTTTGGAGATTGTATTTACCGCAGAAATTAAAAGTTTTAGAAAGTTGGACGAAAAGTCGAGAAAAAAAACGGTCGATGAATAGTGATGTCCGTACGGTGAATAATGTTATTCGTATGGATGAATAGTAACGTTCGTATGGTAAATATTGCTTTCAAGTTTTCGGGATTTTTCGATACGATCAATGGATCAATGTGATTTTGGCCTTTGTTTGTTAGATATTTTCTATTATAAATATGTATCTCTTATATGTTTGGTGTGTGACAATCTTATAGTTTTCACCAATAAGGGAAACCAAGAGTTTAAAGGTATAACATAGGGTTTCAACTATGCACAAAGAAAACTTTGTATTACACCTTGGGTTTGAGTGATTCATATATTGAGAGTTGGAGAGGTAGAGAACCACTTGGGTAGAAAATATGGTTGCTCTTGGGAACCTGAATGCGAAAGATATTTTCTTGTAACTCATCTATAATCTCTTGTAACAACTCTCTGAGTATAGTGAATTAGAGAACTTATCTCTTCCCAGAGTAGATCGTTTGATCGAACTGGATAAACAAACCTTCGGTTTTTTCTTCTTTTATTCTATTATATTATCTATGTACGAATTATTATTGCTGAAGACCATTTATTTTGGTTGCTATTGTTCTTTGCCTAACAAATTGATATTGAATTTTGTCGTAATTCACAACAAGATTTACAACAGCACAAATCAAGATACAACAACAATTGATAAAGAATTGACATGGGTTCAATATTAAGGAGTAGTGTTTGGTGAAGAAGGTAGAGGAATGATGTAAAGACGAACACACTAATAAGAGAGGACATAAATCATTATTTGTCTCTATGAATCATCATAGATTTCTCACACTTGTTATTGTAATCAAAACAAACAAGCATTTAAGTGAATGATGGAAAATTGAAGTTTTTTATGGTTTGATTCGAATCAAAAAGAAAAATTGATTAGAATCAATCTAGACAGACTAAAAAGGAAATTCTTTTTAAGGAAAATGATTCAAATCATTATTTGTACTTGATCCGAATCAAATGAGATTCTGATTCGAATCATGTTCAAGTTTTGACCCGAATCAAATGATTCAGAATGTGATTCCAATTTTTAACAAGTGAATGATTCGAATCAGATATTACACATGATCTGAATCAATTATCAAAAGCATCAAAATTTAAATATTGTAACTTGTGATTCAAGGTACACATGTGAAAATGACAAAGTAGTAACTTTCATAGGCTAAAAAAGAAAAAAGCTAACGAGGATCAACTGAGTACAATATGAAATGCAAAGGGTTCTTAATTGCACATTTACATAATCAAACGATTACAAATATTGAAAAGAAAGTTTACAATCACACATATGAATTGAAAGAGTATACAAATTACAAATACATAACAAAACAATAATCGAATGTAAAATATCAAAACTCAATAGATATTTAAATCACGTAAACGATAACAAATAATACTTTGTGCTTTCAATTTGTTTTTCATATTTCATAATCTCTTTCAGCTTTTTAGGACTTTTATTCCTTTATTATAGTTATTTTAAGATTTTCATCTAGTATTCAAATTCTAGGTTATATATATATATATATATATATATATATATATATATATATATATATATATATATATATATATATATATATATATATATATATATATATATATATATATATATATATATATATATATATATATATATATATATATATATATATATATATATATATATATATATATATATATAAGATCTGTACTTTCTTCATTCCAAGCTAGCATCAAGTCATGAATTGAGACCACTAAATTGTGACGTTGATGTGTTAAACTTTATCCAAGATGTAAAGGGATATAAAGTTGTTAAGATTTATGCTATACACGTAGTTTGTACACATAGTATAATTGAAGATGTTATTTAGGAAAATGAGATAAGGAGTTTCCATTGATGTTGAAGATGAATATAAAGGTGATGGTGAAGATGAGAATGTGTAAGTGTAAGGCGATTATAAGATTAAATGTGAACGTAGGTGTTATGATAAATATGTAAATGATTATGAACATGGAGAATATATTATGCAAATTGATGAAGTTAGTGATGATTATTTTAAAGATAAAAGTGATTTTAAGAAGTCCGATCTTATGTGATTCTATAAGACATAAGTAAGGAGATTTATTTTAATTCCGGCCAAATTGAAATAAAATTAGATTCTGATATTGAAGTTGAATTTGAACTTAACGATTAATGATGACTCTGACATAATAGTCACACCACAAATATTTAGGAAAATGAAAAAACTAAAACAAAGTTTCCATTCAAATTAATTTATGTTACTTTTAAATGTTTCTTTTATGAGTGAATGTGGTTTAACAATAGGATAATATTACAATCCAATTAGAGTTCTTATAGACATTGATGATTAACAATGTGTTTAAACACCATGGGCGGTTAATATATGCAACATACTAGAATGCATAAATAATAATATAACAATACATAAAAATCATGCATGTTTATCAAATCTCTACAGAATTGATAATATAAAATTTAGAAAGACCAAAAAATATAAATTAATTAAAATTAAAAAAATCAAAACTGCAATTAAAACAATGTTCTAAAACAGAAAACAATAAAGAAAAATACTGACATAATATTTTATTTTTGTGGGAGCCACTTGCCTATGTGACACACATCCATATCAAGCGTAATGCCAACGCAACAGACCACGATGATACACTACACAGTACACGCATCTAAAACCCGCACCAGATTTTTTATCCAGACAAGTCATCACAGACACGTAAGCAACAATCACGACAAAATGAAAATAAGCCGTTGCGTTTCCCTCCACACATTTTCTTCACCTTATCTCCCTTCTACTTCTCTCCGATTTCCCTTTTTTTCACACTCCAAATTAAACAACCACAACTGAAATTTCCTCTATACACTTCCACCACTCACCACCACCATGTTCACCGCTACCAAAGTAGCTTTCACATTAACACCCCCTCGTCCATGTTCTACACCTCCCCCAACACCTTTCGTTCCAATCTCTTCTTCGCTTTCTCGTCCTCATCTTATTCACTTCAATTCCCGTCACCTATGCCTTCGCCGGAGACTATTCCTACTTTCACCTAAAGCCACCGCAGATCAACAAGGTCTTACTTCAATATTAACTACTTTTTTTTACATCTTCTAACAACACCTCCTCTTTTTGCTTATTGCTTATTCTTTTTCTTTCAGGGAAGGTTGAAGAATTTGAAGGAGAAGCTGTTGATAGGAATGTTCTTCCGTATTGTAGCATAGATAAAAAAGAGAAGAAATCTGTTGGGGAACTAGAGCAAGAATTTCTTCAAGCGCTTCAAGTATATATATGCCACCAAATTAGTTTTTTCATTTTTTTTTTCATTAATGTTTGAATAAACACATTTAAATGCTTATATTAGGGGGTGAGAATAGAGTGAGTCTAGTTAGACTTTCTCAAACATGAGGCTGAGGTTGAGTGTAGTTAAAAAATTTAAAGCCTAAATTTAACCTATAGTCTATTAGATTCAAGGATGACATTTTCGAATGTCTGATTAGTTTTTATTTGAATATTTGTAAATAAACAATTCAATTGATACTAAAATAGGCTAACAAATTAAAAACCCAATGAGAATAAGTTGTGCGAGCCTATTTGTTGAAGAAAACTTATAAAAATAACTAAAGATATTATTCATAAGGGTTTTCAGCTTATTTTCATAAATTTTTTCAGATAATTAAACTTTATTTTTGTATTTTAATTTTAAATATAAAATACAATATTATAAGAATAATAAAATTATTTATATTCATTTAAATTGACATGCTTAAAATATTTTTATATGGTATATAGCCTAACTATTTTTAATTAAATTGAATTATAGAAAAGCCCTGGCCTATTATATTTAAAAAAAAAAGCTAATGTAGACGAGGTTAGGTGTCCTCTTAGTTGGCCCTAACTATTCTCATCCCTAGCGCCTATCATATATGCTTATTTATAAAAGCATTTCCATAGCTAAAGATAAAATAGAATTAAAATGTATTTACATAAGCAATAAGCAATGAGTTGTTTTCATTAGCTATTTTGAAGAACCGATGAATTCATATAGGTTAATCCAAACAGCCTTAAGTTTGATGGTGTCCTACACAAGTTTTGGATGTGGATTAAATTTGTGTTTTTTTTGTGTTTTATTTCAGTCGTTCTATTATGAGGGAAAGGCTATTATGTCGAACGAAGAATTTGATAATCTCAAGGAAGAACTCATGTGGGAAGGAAGCAGTGTTGTTATGCTAAGTATGGTGTAACTTTGCTCGGTTGTTATGCATATGAATAATGAATTAGTGTTAGTATGTAAGTATATTTATTTTTAAGTTTTTGTTGAATTTCTGTTGTGCAGGTTCGGATGAACAGAAATTTCTTGAAGCTTCTATGGCTTATGTGTCTGGAAATCCAATTTTGAATGACAAAGAGTATGATGAGTTGAAAATGAGGCTAAAGGTTTGCCATTTTTCTATTTTCATTTCATTCATGAAACGTCTTTTGTGTTTTAATTCATGGTTGTATCACTGATAATTGAAGGAAAAAAGAGACCAAATTAAAGGTTAGAGAGCTGTTTTAATTTTAAGTAAATAAAAAGACAACTGGTACTGCAGTTCATGAAACAATATGTGTTGATTGAGTTCTATTTTAGTAATTAGTTCTTGTGGTTATATTGGTCACAAAAACTTGGGAGTGCAGTTGCAATTGTTTTATCAGTTTTACGTCTTAGTTTTTCTAGCATATTTACTGATCTCATAGTTGTTTTTCAGAGGGAAGGCAGTGAAATTGTTGTTGAGGGTCCAAGGTGCAGTCTTCGAAGTAAAAAGGTAAATGTTGATATGTAGTGTACTCTCTTATATCAGTTTTGGTAGTTAGTTGTAGTTATATAGAGGAGTTTTTTTTTATTAAATCATTCTTGTGGTGTTAAATAATGAATACAGATGTAGTTTTTCTTGTTTCATTATTAAGAGATCCGTTTTGAATTGGGATAAAAGTTAAGCTGCTAAGATAAGTTATATCACAAGTAATGACATGAAATACAGGAAGATAATTACATGTCAAATCTAATACTTTTTTATGTGTTAGAATTCATCTTTAGGAATTTATCCTACCATTTGGGATTTACGGGTATTTAGACGACTGCATCTGCAGTGTTTAATCTTTGTTCCGTACTTATTACATTCTTTTTATAGGTTTACAGTGACCTGTCAGTTGACTATTTAAAGATGTTCCTGCTGAACGTCCCAGCCACCGTGATTGCATTAGGATTGTAAGTCGCTTCCGTGTCTCCCGCTCATCCATGTTTTTATTGTTAATAACAACTTTGTTGGTTCATGTTGGTGAACGTTTGATTTACCCTATGATCCATGCTTCTGCCAAATATATAATTGGTTTCAGACCCAAAAGATATGGTGAAACTTGAAGTTCTAAAACGATGTTGTAATACGAAATGACAGTTTTCTGTAGATATGGCCTAATGTACTAGTATTTATCATTCTTTCCTATGTTTGATTCCAAGAAATAAATAATGTCTCACTCATTATATTTATTACTTATGGGATTGAAAGGAATGCAATAAATGACAAATATATGCTTGTTTTTACATAACCATTCATCTATTACCTTATGTAATATTCTACCTGCTTTTCTCTATTTTATTATCCTCATATCAGTATTCACTTTTTATCATTTATCCTTTTTAAAAGGTTTCATCCCAAACGATGATTGGACTTAAGAACATTTAAGTTTATTTGATTTTAATGTTTGTACTTAGGTCTTCACTATTTTTCCTTTAATTTTCGTTCTGTTATCCCATAGGTTCTTCTTCCTTGATGATCTGACGGGATTTGAAATCACTTACTTGCTGGAGGTATGTTTGTTCTTGTACCTAGAATATCAAACTGGTACCTAGAAAATAGAAATCACTTATAGCATCTGAAACTAGTTTCATTCTTAAAGTCCTTTCCTTTCATACAATCTATTGCCTCTTAAATCTCAAGAAGCAGTTTACTTTTACACCTTTGGATTTTGCCTCTTAAATCTCAATAACTTATTTTATTATTATGGATTGTTGAGTGCAGCTGCCGGAGCCCTTTAGTTTCATTTTCACTTGGTTTGCGGCTGTTCCTCTCATTGTATATCTAGCTCTATCACTAACAAGAGCCATTATTAAAGATTTTGTGATTTTAAAGGTATGAATTTTTTAATACTAGTTTGTAGATTACATTGAACTTGAACTGCTACATATACTGATTATTTAATTTTTAAAGGGTCCATGTCCAAACTGCGGAACTGAAAATACCTCCTTCTTTGGAACCATACTGTCAATTTCAAGTGGTGGTTCCAACAACAAAGTCAAATGTTCCGAGTAAGTACCAAAACTACACCGGAGTAACTAACCATTACAGTTTCATATGATTTCTATCTTATCCTGAATCGCTTAAACTAATTTAATTAATGGTATAACAATAATTTAACTATCGAAATTAACATCTGAATCAGCTGTGCAACTGAAATGGTGTATGATTCAACTACAAGATTGATTACATTGCCAGAAGGAAGTAAATAAGTAAAAGCCTAAGTGAAGGTATATATATTCCTAGCGTTCTCTAGTATCACTGTCAATTCTATTGATGCTTAGCATATATTTTGCATACGTTGCAATATACAATTTGATCTTTGTTTTCCATCTAGTTATAAATCTATTAAGTAAATTGTCGTGCATATAGCAAGCAATACTCATGTTATGTTATGTTGTGTATGAATACAGGTATTCATGGAACCATCTTCATTGTTTAAGCAATGGACGCTCATTAATAGGAGTTACTGTGAAAGTGACAAATTTACCAATCAGCAACGTGTTGTGTTATGTTATCACTGTCACACATGATAGTTTGAATGTATCACTATTCTACTTGTAAGTATATGGGCTTTGTATACTTGTAAGTAATATGGACTCTGTATAGCATACACTGCATTGTTTACTGGAAGAGTTATGAGGCTGCTAACAGCATCAATGAGTCTAACCTAAATAATGTGTGTAAGGAGTTTTGTTACACGCTTTTGAAGAATTTTCCTTCCTGTCTGCCACGGTACATTTGCAGGAATGTCAATAACCATAAGGAAAATTGAGTATATTCAAATTATTAAGCTAATTGACAATTAATTGAAAGGCATGAATAAAAATATTGGGCCATTTGTTACCTTAGTAATGGATCTACAATCAGGGCCAGATATTAAAGGGGTTCCATGTGAAGGATCACCATTTGAAAACCCAAAAATACCCTTGCCAAACTTGGGAAGTATATATCAGGATGCACTTTAATTACACAATGTCACTTAATAAGTGAGTAATCTATTCCATTTTTGTATTGATCTGACCTGATCAGAAGGGGATCACGGACTGGCCACACGCTGTTGGACTGCCACCTGTTCACCGGTGATGAGGAGAAGGGGGTGTACCTGCAAAACACTCCGATGCCAAAGTGAGGAGTTGGGCAGAGTGAGAGCAAAGTACAGAAAGTGGGTAAGGAGTGAGTTACCTAACCCTCTTGAGGAAGAGGGTATTTATAGAAAGACCCCAGCGCTGGGTCAACGGTCACTTGCGTTGGGCTGGATTGTCAGGCCCAACCCAGGTGACTGCTAGGGCTTACGTGGCGTAGTGAAGACCAGGACGTGGTCTTCGCCCTAGTCCAACTGCTCCTTGATCTTCGGAAAGTGGGTTTGACCTGCTCTTTCGGAGGTGGGCAGTTGGTTGCTGACGTGTCCCCGCGGAGAGAAGCACGTGGAGAACGCGCGACGGGCATGTTGTTCTCTCCGCGGAGGGGAGCACGCGAGGACGTGGAAGAACCAAGGGTCTTGCTCGATGGACCGGGGGTGCCCTGTTCGGCCGATACAGGGGGCGTTGAAGACGCTACAGGACGTGCCGTCCATACCGGCGGGGAGCGTGCCCTGCCCGTCCTATGGGGGTGTGTGCCCGGTCAGACTAGTCCACTTAATGGGCCTTGTGCGTTATTGGGCTGGACCGCGAGGTTGGGCCCTGACCAGAACAGGAGCCCCCCAAGTCGAAGCTCTGTGGCGAAAGAGCGAGGATTTAAGGTCGCTGCGTCGGGGAGAGAGGTAGCGAAGCGGGAGGTTCGTCGGGTTTGTGCTCGGTGGAACGTGCGCTTGCGCGAGGGTCTCCTCGTCGTCGGTAGAGCGGGGCAAAGGCATGTGAAAGGACGCGACTGTCAGGTTACCGCCACGTGTCGTACGTTAAGTGGTAGTAGGGGCGGCTACCCTAGGTCATTTAAGAGCCTAGTGTCGCTTCGAGTCCCGCGCCAGGTTATAAATATGGGGGTCCCTGCTCATTTTTCTACTTTCCACCTTGCTGTCTTACCTGCGAAGCTCTGAGATTTCTGCTCGTCCGCCGTCGCTGTAGATCGCCGCTGCGCCGTTTAGTTCTTCCTCCCGTTCGCCGCCGTTACAAGTGAGTTTCTCTCTTTTCTCCTTTTATTTCCGCCGTTTACTTAGGGTCTGTGGTCGGGGCATGATGAATGTCCCGAGGAGAGACGCGAGTTCCGCCATATCTGGCGGTTTTTTGGGTCAGTTCCGATGAATGCCCCGGGGAGAATTGGTTGTTCCGGTGAATGTCCCGAGGACGGGGATTTTCTCCGATGAACGCCCCGGGGATGTGCGCCCTTTCCGATAAATATCCCGAGGAGGGATGGTAGGTTGACCTTTGAATGCCCCGTGGAGGAGCGGCGGGGAGCGCCTACTCGCTCGTCGTTCTCCCGCCTTTGTCGCCCTTTCACTTGACCTGCGGTGGAAGGGTGAATTTGATCTTGGCTATCGAATTCACCGTTGTCCTCTGCTTTTCAGGTGTAGATGTCGGCCTTGGTACCGGGGACGATGGTCGAAGATAATGAACCCGAGGTCCCGGATTTCGACGAGCGCGTCCTCCCCGTGGAGGAGTGGGTGGCCGAAGAGCCGTTGTCCACCCCATTCTGCTTCGTGGCCGACGCGTCCGATGTCTACGCTACCATCGAGGACACGCCCAAAGGGGAGCCGCAGCACTGGCAGGTGTATCGCTCGAATGAGCACCATCGCATCTGCTCGCGATATGGGCGGCAGATGTTTCCCATGCATGAGTTCTACTTCAAAGAGGCTCAGCTCAGATTGTCGTTCTCCGCTTTCCATCTGGGCCTCTTCGATTGGTTACGTTTGGCCCCGTCCCAACTGCACCCTAACGCTCTGGCCTTTATCCGTGCTTTCGAGGTGGTGTGCTTTTATCTCGAGGTGGAGGCCACGGTGCCGTTGTTTTTTCGCATCTTCCACCTGCAGCGCCAGTCGGTGAACGGCCGTCAGGGATGGGTCTCGTTTAAGCAGCCGACCAAGCTCTTCAAGACGTACAGCGATTCCGTTCGAGATTTCAAGGGTCGGTTCTTCCTCGTGAAACCGATCACTCAGGAAGGCTCGGATACTCTTTTCACTGAAGGGGAGCGAATGGTAGACGGCCAACGGTTCCTCGCGTGGCTCCCCAAGGTACATTTATTGTGGACCTCGGAGCACTTCAACCGCGGTACTGACCGGTATATCGTACGGGCAGGGACTCTCGACGAGAAGGATATGGCCGCGTATATGAAAATAGTTGCCTTCGTGCAGGATCTTCCCCCGTCGAAACTGGTGACGCCCGATGGTCGGTACATCCTCGATGCGCAGGGGAACGTGCGAACCAAGAAGAGGATGATTAACACTAAGACCCTGCTCGGTTGCGCCACGGGGGCGGATGCTCTGGAATATCTAGGTAGGGATGTTTCTTTTTTCCTGTGATCGTATATTTTGACCGTTGCTAACTCTTTGTCTGTTTTTGCAGCGAACATGTCTTTCGTCGAGGAGCGAGTGAAGAAGCTGCGCGCCTCAAGGAACGCCGTGGTCCCGAAGACGCGGGTGAGTCAACTGGTCGGGCAGGAGGTCGTGACGCCGGGAGGCCAGAGTTCGTCTTCTTCTCCCTAGGGGAGTCAGTCTCCTACGTCCTAGGGAGCTGCGAAGAGGCCGAGATCCGAGGAGCCCCGCGGGTTGATTGATCTGACGACCGGCTCGACCGAGGAGGGTTACGTCGTTCCGCCGTGCCATCAACACCCGGGCTATTTTCATGGTGCCCGGTCTCCCACCGTCTCTGCTGGGGAAGTGAAGGCTGTCCGCGAAGCTGATCGAGAGTCTCGTCGACGTATCCTGGTGGAGGATTTGACCCTTGTCCTGAACGAGGAGGGCTGCTCCGCCGCTGAGCTGTCCAAATTGCAGGGGGACCTTACCTTCATGCAGTCGCGCCTGGCCAAGTTTACCGAGGAGCTGGAGAAGAGTCAGAAAGATGCTGCTGAGCAACGCAAGCGAGCGGAGGACGCTGAGGAGAAGGTGACCTCGATGGAGGAGAAGCTGGGGGCGGCGACGGCCGAGGTGCAGGCGCTGAAAGTTCGTATGGAAGTCCTGGATAGCGCACTTCGTCCGGTCGAGGACGAGACTGAGGAGGACCAGCGGTTGATCACGCGTGCTGATCTGGGCGCCCGGATTCAGGTGTTGGAAGGCGATTGTTTAGAAGCTGTCAAGGTCGGGTTCAAGAGCGTCGTTGCGCAGATCCAAGTTGTCAACCCCGGCATCGCGCTGGTCGTGGATGGGATTGGGCCGTATCATGAGATCGTCGGCGGGAAGGTGGTCGACCCTGAGCTTGTCGTTCCCGAGGAGGTCCCCGTGGTTGCTGATCAGGAGGGCGAGGTGGCATAGGTTCCCGGGCCTGCGTGCTCATAGTTTTCTGGCCTGCGTGCCGACATTTTGTAACTTGTTTTTCTTTGTTGGGCCTGCGCGCCCCTGTTCGTGTAATATTAACTACTGGGTTGGTGTCCGCTTTTGTTTAATATATTTTTTGAGAATTTTCTAAGTGTGCGCTCGGTATTCGCATGATGTTTATGCTCGTCTTATTTTCGTATTTATTTGTTTGCTTGAATGATGTTCGATGTGCATGTGTTGGTATGCTTTTCGGGCCTGTCCGGGTGTTAGCTCGACAAACTTGTTACCGACGATGAAGGGAACCGGCCGGTTTGGGCGGTGATGTGGCCGGGCCGTTTTGGGGGTAGTTCTCCCCGTGGCGTGGACGTCCCATCGCGAGCTGGGCGTCTTGCCGGTTTTGGTACAGCGGTGAGAAGTCTCGGTCGAGGTGTTCCTCACCGAGCGAGGCCGTTTGCCCGTGCACACAAGAGGGAGGGCTTGCTTTTCTCTGGTCGCTAGTGGACGCGTGGGAGTGCGGTGGTACCGTGTCGCCCCCCAGTGGCCGGGACGAGGGGTCGTCGCGGGCAGTGTTTTAATTGTAGTACCGCTTATGTTTCGCGGCGTTCCATGGTCGAGCTAGTTGTTCACCGTGCAGGTTTTCGAGGTAATAGGCCCCGTGCTCCGTCTTATCGCGGACGCGGTAAGGGCCTTCCCAATTCGCAGCCAATTTGCCTTCGTGGGAGTCTTTTTGGTTTCTGCGTAGAACTAAGTCGCCAGTTTAAATGTCGCGTTTTAGGACTTTGTTGTTGTGGTGAAGTAGTACTTGTT